GGAGAAATAGCTCTAGAGGGAATAAAGAGTCTGAGCCAAAGCAGAAGCAGTACCCAGTTTTGGATGTGTTTGGTGGTGAAAGTAAAGTCTGATGCTATAAAGAACAGTATTGCATAGGAACCCGGAATGTTAGTTTCATGAATGAATTGGTCAAACAGGAGATGGTTAGCATGAACATTGATTGACATTTTAGGAATCAGTGACCTAAAATGGGCTGGAATGGGTGAATTTAATTCAGATGACCATTTTACTATGGGCAAGAATCCCTTAGAAGAAATGCAGTAGCCCTCATAGTCAACAAAAAGAGTCCGAAATGCAGTACTTGGGTGCAGTCTTTTTTTCTGGGGTCACAAAGAGTCAGATACAGCTGAGTGACTGAACAACAACTGGTTTTGTTGTTGTGCTCATCTCATCTTGTGCAAGATGAGATTTAATTTTTCTAAAGGCAGGTTCAGGAGATGTAATTTATTTTAATTAATGTTATGTGCAATATGAAAATTAGCTAGTAGTATCAAATAGTAAGAGCTTCCCTGGTGGCTCAGATGGTAAAGCGTCTGCCTACAGTGCGGGAGACCTGGGTTCAATCCCTGGGTCAGGAAGATCCCCTGGAGAAGGAAATGGCAACCCACTCCAGTACTCTTGCCTCAGATAGTAAATCACATAGTAAAGCTGCTAAAATCATAAACCAAAATGATATGAATAGAAATATTACCTAGGACATAATTTTATACAAGTCTTTAAAATTTTTTCTTATGGAGTAACATAATCAAGCTCCAATATAGGCCTGTTGCTGTTGTCCCTAAGTTGTGCCCAACTGTTCGCCACCCCGTGGCCTGTAGCCTGCCAGCCTTTCTGTCTGTGGGATTTCCAAGGCAAGAGTGATAGAGTGGTTCCCATTTCCTTCTCCAGGGCATCTTCCTAACCCAGGGATCGAACCTTTCTCTTGCATTACGGGTGGATTCTTCAGCACTGAGCAAACCTTTCTTTTGCATTACAGGTGGATTCTTCAGCACTGAGCTACTTGGGAAGTCTAGCTATTATAAAACCATTATGTACTTGCTTGGTTTCTTGAGCTCTTTCATTGGACTATATATGCATTAAAATGTTTTTATAACTAAAATAGAACAGTGGAATTTATCCCTTAAGTGTGAAACATGTACTTGTTTTATTTTGCTGCACAGATAGTCCATTCTGGTTTAGATTTAAGCTCACATGGATTTCATTTTCATTCAAATAAAATGGAGTAATTTTTTTGTCCTTGCTCTTGTTGCTTGTTAAGTAAGAAAATGCTTATTCACGTATATAAGAAGTTGGCAAGTACCAACAAAATGTTCATGTTCATTGCAGTTTACTCTTCTTTCATAAAATTAGAACTTTTATAGGGGCAGATCAGCAGTAAATTTCATCCTGAGTATACCATCATACTAAACTGACCAAATTCTTCAAAGTAAAGTTCTCAGGCTGAGTAGAAGATTCAGAGAAAGGATTCATCAACCCAGCTTGAATTGAAAAGGAGGGAGAATTACCATTAAGTTTTGTTCTGCCATTTTTCCAGGTGGCTTTCAATAAAATTTGAAATGTATTGATATTCTTCACTCTGAGCCCAGACAAGCAAAGGAAACATTTTTGAGATTTCTTTCAAAGATTATTTCCTTTTAAACCCACTTATATTTATTATTATCCTTGTTGTCTTTTTACTTAGAAAATGACAAGAATTTTATAGCGTAGTAAGAGAGAATTTGGGCTTCCCAGGTGGCTCAGTGGTAAAGAATCTGCCTTCCAAGCAGGAGACACAGGTTCAATCCCTGGGCTGGGAAGATCCTTTGGAGAAGGAAGTGGCACCCACTCTAGTATTCTTGGCTGGGAAATTCCATGGACAGAGGAGCCTGATGGGCTACAGTCCGTGGGGTTGCAAAGAGTCAGGCATGACTTAGCAACTACATAAAAACAACAAAGAAAAATTAATTTAAAATGAGTGTATTATAATTCTGGTAGATGTGCTCACTCACTCAGTTGAGTCCAGCTCTTTGTAGCCCCATGTACTGTAGTGTCCGCCAGGCTCTTATGCCCATGGAATTTTCCAGACAAGAATACTGGAATGGGGTGGCATTGCCTACTTCAGGGGGTCTTCCTGAACCCGTGTCCCTGTGTATCCTGCATTGGCAGGCAGATTCTGCCAGCACCACCTGGGGAAGCCGTGTAATTCTGGATACCTGTGCTGGAGTTGATCAAGCTAGCTTGTTTCTATTCTGGTTTAATGCAAGACAGCTATGCTCCTGAAGTGATTTTTTTTTTTTTTTTTTTTGGAATATTTCTCATTGTTTTCCGATGTTGTTTTTTATGTGCTAGCTTGCTCATGTTTTAGGATAATTACTGAATTTTTTTTTTTAACTTTTCTGTTGCTTTTTTTTGTACTCACATCTACTTGTATCTTGGGAGAACTGAGTGATGTGTCAAACTGCTGTTTCTATCATTGTCCTATATGTGTCCATGATGTTTTTCTACATTGCCTAGAATGGAAAACACTACCAAATTGTAAGCTAAAGGTGCCTTTTTGAGGCTCTGCATCCATGCTATGAAAAACTACTAAACATATACAATTCTTTCTCACAGCACTCCTTAGCTCTAGGATTTATATATCTTTTTTTTTGTTTAGAAAAGGACTTTAAGTGCAGTCTTCCCAAGAGGCCAGGAAACAGTTGTTAAGGTCCTTCCTGTCTCATAATTCCAAAACCTTTCATGTCACTGTTTTACTAATGACTTCATCTAAATCTTCCTCTTGTTAAAGCAAAAAAAAAAAAGGCACTCTTTGTACCTGTTGGAAATAGAATTTTAGTTAAGTTTCAACTCTTTCATCTTGATCTCAGAGTAAGATGAAGCAGAAAGTAATTTTGAGAGAGTATTTTAATCAAAAGATTCTATGGCAGCATTTACAGAGACTATTTTTTAAGCCTAAGCAGAGGACAGTGCATTCAAAAGTACTTGGGTTTTATCTCTAGCTGAATAAACTCCCATTTAAAAGCTTCTTAGAGTCATATAATGTTAAACATGGAAAGAACTTTGAATAGGAAACTGGAGACTAGAAGCATTAATAATTTGCTATATTAATTAGTAGCTAAGTTAGAACTTAGCTTCAGAATACAAACTTTATTATAATTAATTGCTGGAGTTGTCAGAACCAGACAGTTGCAGGAATTGTCAGAACCAGAAATATCATGAATGCATAAAATATATGTAGATGTACAGAATATGTGTTAATCAACTTTTTATGTAATTGGTAAGTCGTCTGGTCAACAAAGCTATTAGTAGTTTTGGGGGAGTCAAAATTATACATGCATCTTTGACGGAAGGTGGCACCTGTAGTCCCCACACTGTTCCCATAATTGAGCCCCTCAGTGATTAAAGTTTAAGTCAGATTTTTTTAGCATTTTTCAAAAGCTAACCTAGAAAATTTAGGGTTATGTGCAAAATTAAGCTCTTCTATTTACTGTATATGATCTCCAGGGAAGGAGAGTCTGTGTTGAGTGTTCTGACTTGCTGTTGCCAAAATTGTTTTCTGATGGACCACTCCAGTCTTGTGACTAGGTAGCAGCATTGATGGTTGTTTACTTGTGCATGTTGTTTGGTCCTACAAATGTGTTTTTCAGTTAATTCCTTTATGACCTCAAGCAAGTCCTTCAGTATTCCCATTTTTTTGGACCAGAACATGTGATACATGTACTGCTGTGATTATCTGTAACCTTTGAGGCACTGGTACAGACTGTGAATGGATTTATTTTGTAATGTGGATAAACAGGATCTCTTCACTGCTTTTTAGAATTTCCCCGAATTGCCAAAACTAAAGATAAGTGGTATGATTATATAAAGAAAAAAAGTTAGCTGAAATATCAGGGAACTCTTACTACTTAGATTTATCCAGGACTAAGCATTAATATATAAAGCACTTAGCATAGATGGTTGATGATTTAAAAAAAAGAATATTAGTAAATACATGAAAAAGTAGGAGAAATTATCTGTGGTTTTCCTTTAGCAAATAATACTATCTGTTGGTTTGCATATATAAATATGTAGTACCTTTAAAAAGAATTTATGCAGTCACTTTGTTCTGAAGCACATAATATACATAATAATGAAGGAAATTCAAAATCCCTGGTAGTCCAGTGATTAGGACTTGGTGCTTTTGCTTCCAGGGCCAGGGTTCAGTCTCTGGTAGGGGAACTAAGATACTACAAGACTTGAGGTGTGGCCAAAACCAAACCAACCAACGTACCAAATGAAACAAAAAAGAAAATGATATCCTGTAGTACATTTTTTATATATCTTCCATTTAAAATTTAAACTTACAGTTAACAAGTCTAGATTCTGGTACAGGGTTAGCTAATTAGATGTGAAATCTTTCATGTGTCTTCACTACTCTGATTTTCATTTTCCTGTAAAAATTTAAGTGGTTTTTAGGTATCTATTGGTGAAAAAATAAATTCAGCTGAGTAACTTTTAAAGATTTTATTGGTTTATTCAATGATTCATGAATTTGGCAGCATCCCATTTAGCAGATAGAAAGGAGCTTTGAGGGGCTATACAAAATGAAAGATTTTAAGCAGAAGGAAGCAAGGAAAGGAAGTTGTATTAGCTGGAAGTGGGTTAGTTATGGCAAAGTCACTTTCCTTTAGGAGATTGCAGGGTCTTTCAGGCAGATTACCTCACTCATGATGACCAGGTGATTTCTGACTCAATAGTTTTAAGATTCTGTTCTTGGGAGTAGCCAAAATTGTAATTAATTTTTGGTTTGGTGACACGGGACTTAGCATAAGTGACTCCCATTTTGTGTTTGTTGTCTTGTTTTTAATACTATCAACTATAAAATATGAAAATTGTATGCACTAGCAGGTGTTCATACTTAGAGATCTTCAAATGATAATTTTTAGTTGAATATTTGCTTATGTTGGTTAGGATTCACACATTTTACCTTGATTTATAGTTTTGTCATCTTTTCTCCTAAGATCTCAGTGGTTCAATAGCACCCCCAGATGTCAAGTTAAACCTTGGTGGAGATTTTATCAAAGAATCTACAGCCACTACATTTCTGAGACAAAGAGGATATGGCTGGCTTTTGGAAGTTGAAGATGATGACCCTGAAGATAACAAGCCACTCCTGTATGTAAAAATAATGTATATTTTTTGGATTTTAGAGCTGGTCTGTGAAATCATTATATTCTTTCATATTATTTAAGACAGGTATGGAAAACTTTAACCTTTTTGGTCAAAAGTTTTAGCTATTTTCAGTTTTGCTAGTACATTTGGCCCTTGAACAACTGAGGTTTGAACTGTGTGGGTCTACTTATACATAGATTATTTTCAGCACTTGTATTGGAAAATTTTTTTGAGATTTGCAGTAGTGCAAAAAAACTCGCAGGTGAACTGTGTAGCCTAGAAATATCATGAATGCATAAAATAAGGGTGTGCAGAATATGTGTTAATCAACTTTTTATGTAATTGCTAAGTCTTCTGGTCAACAGTAGTTAAGTTTTGGGGGAGTCAAAATTATACATGTATTTTTGATGGAGGGTGGCACCCATAATCCCCACATTGTTCAAGGTCACCTGTAATTAGTAAAACTGGAATAATGAAATAATATTTTTAACTCATTGAAAGTTCAGTTTAAGACAAATTTAGAATTCCAAAAAGATTACCGCTCCAAACTCTCTCCCATATAGCAGTTTTCGAGCTACCCCTGGGGGGGCTACAGGGATACTTTCACCTTCTTCATAGTACTTGAAGATTTTTAAGTGATTATGTATCCCTTGAGCTTCCCAGGTGGTGCTAGTAGTAAAGAACTCGCCTGCCAATTGCAGGAGACGTAAGAGACACCCGTTTGATCCTCTAGGTTGGGAAGATCTCCTGGAGGAGGGCATGGCAACTCACTCCAGTTTTCCCTGCCTGGAAAATCCCCATGGACAGAGGAGCCTGGCGGGCTACAGTCCATGGGGTCGCAGAGTCAGACACGACTGAAGCAACTTAGCACACGTAAAGATCAATAGCATGCACATGTATCACTTAGGGGGAAAAAGTGAAGAATTTAACAGTTTGGAAAGAAGAACCTGCTGCTGCTGCTAAGTCGCTTCAGTCATGTCCGACTCTGTGCGACCCCACAGACGGCAGCCCACCAGGCTCCTCTGTCCCTGGGGTCCTCAGGGCAAGAACAATGGAGTGCTTTGCCATTTCCCTCTCCAGTGCATGCATGCATGCATGCTAAGTTGCTTCAGTCGTGTCCGACTCTTTGCGACCTTATGGACAGCAGCCCACCAGGCTCCTCTGTCCACGGGATTCTCTTGACAAGAATACTGGAGTGGGTTGCCATTTCCTTCTCCCCTAAGAAGAACCTATAGCATTGTAAAATCAAGGCATTACCAAGTTATTCTCTGTAGTAATTATTGGTAGATCAAGTACTAAAAACATTGTTTCTTAATGTTATTATACTGAATTTCATCAAATCTAAGATGTCATAGATTATAAGGTGCAGTTATTTTACATTTATTAATAAAAGAGAAAAGTGGCTAAGACAGCATAAAGCTAGAACATTAAAGGGCTATCTTACTTCCTTAGTGTAAGGATAAATGAGAAATTATCAACCATGCAGAAAGAGAAATCAAGGAAGTTTGCTTGTCTGTTTGGCACTAGGTAAAGCGTTGGAAGAAAAAGTTCCTATGAGAATGTAGAATTGCAGTCTATGGTCCCAAAAATTCTCAAGAGAAGAATTTTATTTAAAGTCTCAAATTGGTAGTGCCTCCAGGAGACTGGCAAAAGGAAAAGCAGATCTTGGAAGCACTTGGCCTCATGCCAGACTGACAACAGTTGTTAAGACACCAGCTATTATGAGATGTATCCCAACTTTAGAGATGTTGAAAATGTACATCTTGGAAATGTACTTCAAATGCAAATGTTTTGTTGACCTGTGGAGACTGTACTGTTATATTTAAACTTTTCTTAAATTCTTCTACAACTGGCTCAATATTCAAAAGTATGTGCCTTCTAAGAATTCTTATTTTAAAATTATAGGGAAGAATTGGATATTGATCTAAAGGATATTTACTACAAAATTCGATGTGTTTTGATGCCAATGCCATCACTTGGTTTTAATAGACAAGTGGTGAGAGACAATCCTGACTTCTGGGGTCCCCTGGCTGTTGTTCTTTTCTTTTCCATGATATCATTATATGGACAGTTTAGGGTAAGTACATCTTCCTTTACACAAATTCTAAATAGTTTAAGAGTTTTAAAATTTAAAATAACAAATATTAACTGTAGTACTTGATTATGTTTGAAAAATGCTTTAGCTTTACCCATTATTTCTCACTTGTCCATCCCTCCAACTCTTCTTAAATAAGTGGGAGGTTCCTTGGATTAATGGCTTCCAAACTATTCTACATCATCATTCACATGAAAAATATTAGTGTCTGTATGGCAGGTGGGTAAGTGGTTGGGACTGTTCCCAGCTGCCCATGCCCTTTCTGGTTTTCCACAAGAATAAAGAATTGGAAACAACAGTACTCATGTTTTTACCTTTTTTTCATTTTTAGTTCTGTTTTTTAAAATAAACTTTTTAATGATGACAGGATTCCATCAGTATTAGTTTTTACATAATACTATGTCCCATTCTCAGAGGCCTTATCTGTATTATCAAAACACAGCATGTACACATCACTCCCTCATCTTTAGTTTAAGGCTTTAGGTGAGTAAAAAACAATTCTTTATCACAGAGTGATTTGGAAATAAATTAGTTTCCTTTTGTTCTTTAACACATTTCTGTAAGTTTAGTGACTTAAAACAGTGCAGATTTATTCTTTGACAGTTCTCGAAGTCAGAAATCCAAGTTGAGTGTTAAAGGACTAGAATCAAAATGTCAGCAGGGCTGGTTCCTCTGGAGGCTCCAGGACAGTCTGTTGCTTGCCTCTTTCCAAGTCAGAGGCTGCAGCATTCCTTGACTTCTGGCTGCATCACTGTAATCTCCATTGTCACACTGTCTTCTCTACTGTAGTCAGATATCCTTTTGCCTCCTTTCCTAAAGGACATTTGTGATTAAATTTGTGCTTGCTTAATAATTCAGAGTATTCTCTCCATAGCAAAATCCTTAATATTATGTAAGACTAGTCCTATTAATATTTACCTTGGATAGATTTATATCAAGTATGCTGTTGCTGACAAGGACCGTTGAAGAAGTTGAATGGGGGTTCTGGTCTCTTGCCTACCATCAACCCTTCATGTAGAGCATCTCTAAGTGAATTTATCTATATAATCTTTCATTTGAACGCAGGGTTCTAAGGCTAAAAACAAAAAATTCTTACCTCCATAGAATGTTTCTTAATTTGAATTTGTTTAATATTTTCTCATGCTGGATTGAAGTAATACATTTTTGGCAAGAATATCATAGAAGTGACATTGTGCCCTTCTCTACATACTATCAGGCATTACATGATACTGATTTGTCTTATTACCAGTGCTATTATTGTTGATCACTTGGTAAGGTAAGGGGGTGGTATCTGCCCAATTCCTCCACTGTAACGTTGCTATTTTTCCCTTTTTAATATAATAAATATCTTATGGAGATACTTTGTGACTATGCAAGCACTCTGTTTCTCATCAAATTTTAGCCCACTAATTTTAGCATCTATTGATGGATCTTTCAATAATTATTACTGTATTGTTTACTGAATATGATTTTCCTCCTTTCTTCCACATGTATTAGTTAGCGTTCTCTTTGGAACAGCTATTCTTTCTTTGTCATTACTTATTTATTTATCTTTGTCAGCATGGACAGATATTTATTTTACTTTGTGGACTATAATCCAGTATAATCATGTATTTTATTGCTTAGATTGTTGCAGTTTTAACTATTAGAAGCTCCTTCAGGTTAACTTTGGTATCCTCTTGACATATTCCCATCCTTTTTTGAGTGCTTCCTTTTTTCTTGACTTCACAGTGCATTCTGGACTCATCTTTCATTTTCTCTGTCCCAGCCCTGGAATCAGTCATTTCTCTAGGGAGTCCTAGTTCCTTTTATAGGGAAATACTTAGAAACCAGTAAGTATCTGGGCTTCCCAGGTGGCATTAGTGGTAAAGAATCCACCTGCCCTTGCAGGAGATGTAAGAGACATGGGTTCAATCCTTGTGTCGGGAAGATCCCCTGGAAAAGGAAATGGCAACTCATTCCAGTATTCTTGTCTGGAAATCCAATGGACGGTAGAGCCTGGTGGGCTCCAAGTCCCTGGGGTTGCAGAGAATCTGACGCGAATGAGGACACACGTCATACACCGTCACTGGGCAGTTAGTCTCCTTCCGTTGCCACGGGGCATCTTTACTTCTAGACCCCTCACTCGGACAGAGCATAGGAGTGTGTGCATGTATCATTATCATGTCAGTCTCAGGAGTTAAAAGTGTCTGAAGTGTTGTCTGCATTCTATTCCTTGGATAAATGGTAATTAATGTACATTTTAGAGACCTCCTGAGATGAGTAATTTGTTTCATGGATAAATTTACCATGTGGAATGCTGTAAAGCAGGAGTTGAGAGTCAACACTTTGCTGTCTTTTTGCAGTCATCTTTTATCATAGATCCTAAAACACTGACGTTTCCTTAGGCAACTGATCATTGCTAAATTTTCAGTTTGGATATAAAATTATATTACATATTATATTCTTACTAGGTTTTGGGGAAATACCTGGGAACCCAAACTTCTATGACCTAAAGTCAGTGATACCAAAATACCTTATATGGTAGAGAATTGAGCTCATGGGAAATTTTCAGCTTATTTGGTAACACAGATATTAATTGCATGAATTTTTTTCTCTTAAGGTGGTCTCATGGATTATAACCATTTGGATATTTGGTTCACTAACGATTTTCTTACTGGCTAGAGTTCTTGGTGGAGAAGTAAGTAGTTAATTTTGAAAATAGTCTTTGTTTTTTATGGTAAGCTTTATTTTTGATATTGCAGATACTATTAATAACTATGTTCATTGTAATTGTTTGTTGCCCCAGAACTGCTTTTAATTTATGCTACTTCTTTTCAAGGTGATCTATGTATTAGTATTATGCATATTCTATAAATGTTATGAGAAAGAGGCAAGAAAAAAATCCTATTTTTTTTATAACTTAGAGCTTTATAGGGAAGCATACAATTTATTCTCTGTTTAGTCCTCAAACTTTTTATCTCAGGTCCATAGAGCTTATTGCCAAATTCAGACTTAAACTGAAGAAGGTAGAGAAAACCACTAGACCATTCAGGTATGCCATAAATCAAATCCCTTACAATTATATGGTGGAAGTGAGAAATAGATTTAAGGGACTAGATCTGATAGACAGAGTGCGTGATGAACTATGGACAGAGGTTCATAACATTGTTCAGGAGACAGGGATCAAGACCATCCCCAAGAAAAAGAAATGCAAAAAAACAAAATGGTTGTCTGAGGAGGTCCTACAAATAGCTGTGAAAAGAAGAGAAGGAAAAAGGAAAGATATACCCATTTGAATGCAGAGTTCCAAAGAATATCAAGGAGAGATAAGAAAGCCTTCCTCAGCGATCAATGCAAAGAATTAGAGGAAAATAATAGAATGGGAAAGACTAGATCTCTTCCAGAAAATTAGATATACCAATGGAACATTTCATGCAAAGATGGGCTCAATAGAGGACAGAAATGCTTCTACAGAAGCAGAAGATATTAAGAAGAGGTGGCAAGAATACACAGAAGAACTGTGCAAAAAAAGATCTTCACGACCCAGATAATCACAATGGTGTGATCACTCACCTAGAGCCAGACATCCCGGAATGTGAAGTCAAGTGGGCCTTAGGAAGCATCACTATGAGCAAAGCTAGGAGGTGATGGAATTCCAGTTGAGCTGTTTCAATTTCTGAAAGATGATGCTGTGAAAGTGCTGCAGTCAACATGCCAGCAAATTTGGAAAACTCGGCAGTGGCCACAGGACTGGAAAAGGTCAGTTTTCATTCCAGTCCCAAAGAAAAGCAATGCCAAAGAATGCTCAAACTACTGCACAATTGCACTCATCTCACATGCTAGCAAAGTAATGCTCAAAATTCTCCAAGCCAGGCTTCAATAATACGTGAACCGTGAACTTCCAGATGTTCGAGCTGGTTTTAGAAAAGGCAGAGGAACCAGAGATCAAATTGCCAACATCCGTTTGATCATCGAAAAAGCAAGAGAGTTCCAGAAAAACATCTACTTCTGCTTTATTGACTATGCCAAAGCCTTTGACTGTGTGGATCACAATAAACTGTGGAAAATTCTGAAAGAGATGGGAATACCCGACCACCTAACCTGCCTCCTGAGAAGCCTGTATGCAGGTCAGGAAGCAATAGTTAGAGCTAGACATGGAAAAACAGACTGGTTCCAAATTGGGAAAGGAGTACGTCAAGGCTGTATATTGTCACTCTGTTTATTTAACTTATATTCAGAGTGTGTCATGAGAAATGCTGGGCTGGAGGAAGCACAAGCTGGAATCAAGATTATCAGGAGAAATATCAATAACCTCAGATATGCAGATGACACCATCCTTATGGCAGAAAGCAAGGAAGAACTAAAGAGCCTCTTGATGAAAGTGAAAGAGGAGAGTGAAAAGGTTGGCTTAAAGCTCTCCATTTAGAAAACTAAGATCATGGCATCCAGTCCCATCACTTCATGGCAAATAGATGGGGAAACAGTGGCTGACTTTTTTTGGGCTCCAAAATCACTGCAGATGGTGACTGCAGCCATGAAATTGAAAGGCACTTATTCCTTGAAAGGAAAGTTTTGACCAACCTAGACAGCATATTAAAAAGCAGAGACATTGCTTTGTCAACAAAGGTCCATCTAGTGAACGCTATGGTTTTTCCAGTGGTCATGTATGGATGTGAGAGTTGGACTGTAAAGAAAGCTGAGCACCGAAGAATTGATGCTTTTGAACTGTGGTGTTGGAGAAGACTCTTGAGAGTCCCTTGGACTGCAAGGTGATCCAACCAGTCCATCCTAAAGGAGATCAGTCCTGGCTGTTCATTGGAAGGACTGATACTGAAGCTGAAACTCTGGTACTTTGGCCACCTGAAGGGAAGAGCTGACTCCTTAGAGTCAGCTGGGAAAGATTGAAGCCAGGAGAAGGGGACAACAGGGGATGAGATGGTTGGATGGCATCTCTGACTCAATGGACATGAATTTGGGTAAACTCTGGGAGTTGATGTTGGATAGGGAGGCCTGGCATGCTGCAGTCCATGGAGTTGCAAAGAGTCGGACATGACTGAGTGAACTGAACTGAACCATAGAGCTTAATGTAGGTTTTATTTGCCAATATTTATCATGGGGACTTCCCTGGTGGCCCAGTGTTTAAGATGCCACACTTCCACTGGAGGGGGTATGAGTTCATTCCCTGGTCAGGGAATAAACATGCCTCATTTTGTGACCAAAAAAGTTAAAGCAAACAAAATTACCATGTTAGAAATTAAAATACAAATTTTAAATGTGTGTTTATTCATTTAAAAGCAAATCAAATACATTTTAACATAAATAATGCATTTTAAAGAAACCTTTTTTAAAACAAATTGAGGGGAAGGGATTGTTATACATTCTTGGAAGTAGCTTTATTATCTGGGTTAGTAGAATCTGGATTCTGATATCTGCTTTCTGAATTCAACTGTTACAGGATATATCGCTTTGGATAAAGTATATATAAAAAATAAGGCCTCATACAGGTATATAATTTGAAAAGGAGGGATATTTTAACACATTTTTTTTTGATGATTTTGGTTATTCTATTCTGATACTACATTAACACTCAAGAGATAATATAATAGTATTTTAGTTTTTTTTCTTGTCTCTTGTTAATATTTAAAATTTTCCAAAAATCAGACATGTTGTCTGACCTATACCATCACTTTTTCAATTAATTTATTTATTTTAATTGGAGGATAATTACAGTATTGTGATAATTTTTGCCGTGCATCAGCACGAATCAGCTACAGTTCTACATGTGTCCCTCCCATCCTAAACACAACCCCCACCTCCCTCCCAACCCTCTCCCTCTGGGTATTCCCAGAGTACCAGCTTTGGGTGCCCTCAACAGGAAATAGTTTCTTAAAGTTTTTTTGTGAGGAATTTCAAACCATGTTAGTGAACTTTTTATATTCTGTTTCACTGGAATTCATTTTGAATGGATCTTTTTACCTATGCATGATCATCTAGAGAACACTAGTTCACTGAGGTTTGCAGAACTTCCAAATGTTGACACGTTTTATTCTACAATATCAGAAAACCACGTTCAATAAGATCACCTATCTCAGCAGAAAGTGTAAAGATTACAGTGTTGGATGTAAGTTTACCATTTTGCTTGAGAGAGAGCATTTAGTAATTTGAAAGAAATATACTGCAAGTTGTTTTTCTTGAAGCAGCAGGCTTGTTTCATTCATTTTCAGTCATGTTGCCTGTTAGTACCTAACTCTGAATAATTATGGTTGTTTTTCATTTGTTCTTTCACATAAGAATGGTGTTCCATGGATAAAGCATCTAATTCAACTCTTCACTTAAGCAGTTATACAAATGCTTTCCTTGGGATAACCATTGAATCAAGGTAGAAAAAATGCTTTCTGTGTACTTCACATTTTGTTATACAGAATATTTAAAAGGCATATTCAAAGGTTGAGGCTTAATAAAATCAGTCATTTTAACTGCTTCATTAAGGACGTTTTTAAGTGAAACAGGAGGGTTTTTTTCTTTTCTTTGTATGGTAGTAAGGAACATAGTTACTATTATTATAGTTCATACCACCTTGGCATAATAAAGCAGCATGATGTTTTACCCATTGCTTTTGTTCTATTAATCTCAATATCAACCTAATTTAAAAGGCAGATAATATTTTGTCACTATTATAAAAAATAGTTTTGATGTCCAGTCTTTTAGAAAGAGTCTCCTGGACCCCCAGAATACTGCGGGCCACACCTTGAGAATCACTGCCCAATTAAATTAGACTTTATGAATTACCATAAACCTAGGAATTGCAGCACTCTGGAATTCAGCTGTTTGTGGAGAGAGTAAAGCAGAAGGGATGCCAGGCAAAGTTATCATATGGGTACTGACTCATTGGGCTTACTGTATGAACACTGAATGCTAAATGTCTAACTCTTGAGTCTTTTTCTCACACTTGGGGGAAAGATCTCCAAGTCTGATTCTTAGCTCTTGTTCTTCTACTTTCCAGTTTCCAAAATTAAGTTGGTGTTGTTCCATCTTCTCACCTCCTGTTTATGCCTCTTACAAAAAGGAGTCTCTTTTTTTTCTTCCCTTTTAGTGGAGTTTCGAGAAGGAATAGTGTTAGATGTGTGTTCAGTTCACCATTTAACCTACAACTCTTGAATAAGTTTAGAATAACATTTATCTGTGTAACTTTTTTACTCTGCTTATGGAAATTTAACAGGGATTTAAAATGACATTTGTTTGTGTATTATTTCTTATATTCTAGACAAAATCTCATACAGTTTTTATATGAAGACAGGTATCACTAATTGTTTGGTAATTTAAGACTGTTGTTGACTCAAACAGGGGCTCTGTATTAACCTAGAGGGGTGGGATGGGAAGGGAGATGGGAGGGAAGTTCAGGATGGAGGGGACGTATGTATACCTATAACTGATTGATGTTGATGTTTGACAGAAAACAACAAAATTCTGTAAAGCAGTTATCCTTCAACTACAAAGTAAATAAATTAAAAAAATAGGACTGTTGTCGAGGAAGTTAAAAGACCTAGATCTTACTTTGAATTCTAACCAGCTAGCTGTGTCTTTCTTGAACAAAGACGTTTGTCTCTCTGAGAATCAGTTTCTTCATAATGGGGATAGTATTACTGCTACTACAGGATACTTTTATGATTTTCTTTTTAGTATATGTGCTGCCAAAGCGAGCAGTATGATTTTCTTAATTCTCATGTTTTATGTAAGTACAACAAAGTTTGTATGATTTTTAATAGTGGTTAAAGTAAGTAACTTGATTTCTATGATATTTATTTAAAATTTTGAAAATTCACAGGTTGCGTATGGCCAAGTTCTTGGAGTTATAGGATATTCATTACTTCCTCTCATTGTAATAGCCCCTATACTTTTGGTGGTTGGATCATTTGAAGTCATGTCTACACTTATAAAAGTAAGTAGTGTGTGTTATAAAAAGTAGTTTACTGTTTTCCAGTTAGGAAAGTCTACAGTTACCCCTGCATATCCATGGGATATTGGTTCCAGGATCGCTGCTCCCCCCACCCACCACAGATAGGAAAATCTTCAGATGTTCAAGTCCCCAGTATAAAATTGTGTAGTGTTTACATATAACCTATGCAAATCCTTCCATCTACTTTAAATTATCTCCAGATTGCTTATGATACCTAATACAATATAAATTGTTGTCTGTAGTCCAGGTTTGGCTTTTTGAAACTTTCTGGAATTTTTTTTTTCCCCAAATATTTTCAGTCCACATTTGGTTGAATCTGTGGATGCAGAACCCACAGGTAATAAGAGCTGACTGTACTAGTTTTCTCCCTAAAGAATCTTGTAATCTATAACTGTTTATATCAAGCAGTTAGTAGTATTTTGGAACAGTGATCTTACTCACTGATTTTACCAATTGTATTTATTTTCCCCTTTTAATTGCCAGAAATTATAATGTATATCTAGGGTAGAATAAAGAACAAAGAGCAAATCTGGCCTCAGGATATTACACTCAGAAAATTTTTTTAACTAATGTTAAAAGTTTCTTTTCTATGCTTATAAAATTAATTCATTATATTAATTTGAAATTCCACTAGATGTTTATTTAATAATTGTTACTCCTATTTGAATAGTAAATTACTGGTCAAGTAAGATATACGTAGTTCTAATAAACTGAGTTTTCTATGTTGCAGAAATCAGGACTTCTTTATGCTGTGTTAAACTTATTAAAAATGTACCCACTTTAAACATTTACTGATAATATTAAACACTATTAATGAATAGTGATATAGCAAATTTTGGTATTTATTAATTTTGAACCACCTTGGAAAAAATAAATGACTACTTTCACACATGTATGTATATTACACAGTGAGTGTAATTTTTTTCTTTATGGAAAATAGAACTTCTTAAGACCACTACTTTCAATACTAGAACTACCATTATATGGTCTCCATATTATAGTATTTAAATACTAGAGTATTTAAGTAGATTCACTTAAGTAGAGTTACGTGTGATTTTTGGTTTCTCTTAAAGTTTATTACTAATTCCAGTGTAAAAGAAATTATTCCTTTTAGAATTGAGTAACTCCAGGCTAACACTGACATATAAGTCTTGGATACTGAGAAGAGTTGGATTTTAGAACCAGTCAGTTCTGAATTCAAATCCTGGTTTTGCCTCTTGCTGTCCGCCTTGGGGAGATATCTTTTCTTATTCTCCTCTGTAAAATGGAAACTTAGCAACTACTTTTTCAGATTCCTTATGAAGATTTTGAAGAATAAATAATGACTAGTATAGTGCTTGACACACAGTAGGCACTCAAACTGTAGCTTTTATTATTATAAATATTAAATGAATATTTTGAGAACATCTTTGTATGTTTCAACTGTTGGAACACTCTAGAAACCAAGAAGAAGCACTTTCATTCCTCTAATCCCAATTTTTAAAAAAATTACCATTATTAGTGCTTAGGTTGAAAGTCTTGCAGTACAGAAGCTAGCCCCACCCACGCTGGCATTTAATTACTTAGTCTCAGTGATCATGCCACTTCACTGAGCCATTCAGGATCACTGCCTGTGTGTTGTTTTGCTTGGGTTAAAGATTGTTTGAATGCTTCTGAGACTATTCCCCAGACTGCTAAAACTCTGTCCTTTGGTTATTTTTAGTCATTGAGTTCAACTGAAAATTGGATATAATATTCTTTATACAACAAGTGAATGTGTTATTATAAAATAGAAGTCTTTTTTTATATCATTAAAATTTTAGGATAAAAATTTTGTGAACTTTGACTTTTCTTTGCTACATTTCTTTCCCTAATCACTTAAATCTTCTTTGTGTAGCGATCTGTTTTGCATGTTTCTTGTTTTAGTCCAAAGTCTGTTTAGAAATAATGAAATAATAATGAAAGAATGAAATAAATAATGAGAATTCTCATCCTTTAACTCTAGCATTGGAATGCAGTTTACAAGCACTAATTTTCTTTTAACATTAAATGTCTGTAATTTTATCAATCTTAACCATTTATTCACAACATTTAATCATCATGTACAAATAGAATTTGATTATAATTTTATTTCTCTATGCTTTTTTGTAAGATTAAAATATCTTGTATTTTTCGTTTGCATTTAGTTTTAAAAGTGCAGTAGAAAATTGGATCATCTCAAATAATTTTCAGTCAATCTGCCAGTATTTATGTTTTACCTCTGTATCAGTGGTTCTCAACTGATGGCAGTTTCGCCCCCCGGGACGTTTGGCAATGTCTGGAGACATTTTTGAGTGTCACAGATGGGTAGGGGTGGGATGACACTAGTATATAGTGGCTGGAAGCCAGGGATACTGCCAAACATCCTACAGTGCACAGCACAACTTCCCACAACAGTTATCCAGCCCAGAAATTTGATTAGTGCAAGGTTGAGAAACCCTGCTCTGTGCCAAGTGTTTCTGTCATAATTTCCCTGATTTCTATCCTTGAAGTTATTCTCTCATTTCATTCTATAAAATGCCTTCAGTGACTACATTAAGAAGTATTATATAAATTTCTAGTGGATACAGCTTAAACTTAAGTAGGTGCATAGAATACTCTAAACCAAAATGTTAACATTTTTCCTCCTTCCCTTGTAACACTGTATTTCTACCTAGTCCTGGGAAGATGACTTGATACTTATAAGTATTGTGTGAAATTTTCACTTAATCTGTTTTTCTGCTTCTTGGAAGAAAAGAATATTTTTTACAGAATCAGTTAGTTTTCTTAGGAAACAAATATCTATCAGCATCTCATCCCCGTAATAGTTTTTCTAAAAGTTTGCCTTGTCTTAAATTATCCAGGACACTTGTTAAAATGGCTGATAATTAGACCTTTCTTCCATTAGAGATTCTGATTCAGTAGAACTAGAATGAATCCCAGGAAGCTCATAGTCACCCCAGGTGATTCTGATTAATTAACATAAAACCTAAGTCATTTCCAGATGTCAAGGAACTGAGCGAGGCTGAATATTCTTAATAAGTTTTCAACATTCTCAATAAGTTTTGCTGTTTCTCTAATTGGTTGCCAGGGTTGTTTTAAAAAAAATACTGCAAATGTTATTTTTATTCTATGATACTCAAAATGTTAATTGACTTGCTAATACGCTGCCTTTTGTCTTTTTTTTTTTTTTTTAAGCTCTTTGGTGTGTTTTGGGCTGCCTACAGTGCTGCTTCATTGTTAGTGGGTGAAGAATTCAAGACCAAAAAGCCTCTCCTGATTTATCCAATCTTTTTATTATACATTTATTTTTTGTCCTTATATACTGGGGTGTGATCTAAGTCAAATAGAAAAAGACAATGTTACATTTCTGTGTAGGCTGGAAATTCTTGCTTGAGGATATTAAAAAAAAACCCTGTTGACGGTAAAATTTTACATGTTCAGATGTAAAGGCAGTTTCAGGTCTTTTTAAAACATTTTTTTTTTGTATTTAATTAAGCAATTGCAGTTATCTGAATATTTTTGGTCAGAATTCTGAATTCTGTTTGATTCTTCATATTCCAGTGAATAAAATATAAAAGCATTGTGTTTTTAAGATTGTGTCAATATTCACCTAAAGATCTGTGCCAAAAGCACCTGGAATGGTAATTATATTTCACTTGAAGGGTAAATATAATAACATTTTGATGATTTAAAAGTGCAATTTTTTTCCCTTTAAAGAGTTTTCTCCTGCATTGCAGATCCTGTAGATATATATTTATATTTATACATATATATTTATGAAATCTTATTCACAAAATATATTTCTGAACAGCTTAAAAATTAAGATATTTTAAATCTGATGCTTCCACTTTCTTTAATTTGGCCTTTAATCTTCTTATTTATGAAATTAAATTTGCTCTTAAATTATATATAATTTTTAAAGTCTCGTACATGCTTCTGGCAGTATGTCCTTGTTAAGAATTTTTTTCTTTTGTTTTTTAATTTTTTATTGCAAGATATTTGCTTTACAATATTATGCTGGTTTCTGCCATACATCGGAATTCTTAATAACAACAACTAAAACTAATTATAACAGTTGCTGATGTAGATTTGGTTTGTTTGGGTGTGCTTTTTCTTACAAACCACTTTTGAATGTCTAAACATCTGATTTCAAGTTTCTGCTTACGGCATTTGATGGATATGGCATTTATTAAAACTGTTAGTATATAGAAAAACAATAATATTTATAGCATCAGTAAATATTTTTAAGTGGCACTTCTAAGCCGTAAAAGTTGCTGAAAAGAGACCTTTAGAGTCTTGTGGTCCCGAGCAATGTTATATGAAATAGAAAAAAAATAAAATGCTTCCCAGCTGTGTGTTTTGTTTTATAACACCTTGTCTTACATTACTTGATATTTTAACAAGTATCAGGTACTCTTAAACATAAAATATTTGCTAAGAGAGATACTAAGAAATTCCAACTAGTGAAATTTTATGCAAATAATTTCATAGACTCTAGATGTACCTTTTATTAATGTTAGTTTGTAAAGTAGGTGAAATATTTGATATCCATAAAATACCAAATGCCTAATAACTCTTAGCAAATTATTATATTATCCTTTCTGGTCTCAGCTGGAAGAATTAACTGCTGTCTTCGGTATGATAACGTGGCCACCTCTTGGGATATATTCCTTGAGCAACCTAATGTGTCAGGAAATATCCAGCAACTCTGAAATAAGCCTACAAATTAGCAAGATATCAAGCCCATCTCTCATTCTTTTCTCCTCTCCTCTCCCCCACCTAAAATAGAAAAAAAAAAAAAAAAACAACCCAAAAACTTTAAGCTGCAAAAGTGAGAAGTATAGAGCTATCTTTAGGCCAGAATAATGTGGAAAAATTACATGATGCTGATTATTTAAGCAAGTTCAGGAAAACAGACTAGAAGCAACAGAGGGATGAAACTTCTAAAACCTAAAATGATATGGAATAGTAAGGAAGGGTCTATAGCTACAGAAGCAGCAACTACAAAGTAAATGTTTGTCATACTTCAGGGGTTTCTGAGAGCAATACTTTGTTTTGGTAGATTATTATATTTGATGTTCATAGCGCTGACCCTAGAATCTTCCCCAAAAAGCTTTGGGGTCCATACCAGGCAGTAGAATTTTACTAAGCAATAAGTCAAGTGATTTAAGGACCAACTCCATCCAAAGGTGGTTTAAATTTTTTTTTAAGCTATCATTTCTTTAATATGTGAGTGAAAGTTCACTTGTATGAATCTTATTTATTATTGATATAAGATAAAATAAAGTACTTGTGTTCCAAAAAGGTATTTAAGAATAATAGCATTTAATATTGGGCCTAGTCCAGTTATAAAAACAATTTATAATGTTTCATAATGTTTCAAGCTCAGCCACTGTCTTCGTGGGCTAATGAGCAAAGCACTTAAAACAGATTGTCAGTTTACAACATGATTTGTAAATTTGTACAAGATACAGTACTGTTACAGATAATAATGGTAAGTTGACCATAATGTCCTCTGCTTGAATTTGTATATAAAAATATTTTATGTCATATTGATTTAAAATAATGATTTCCAACCTAATTATTAGTTCATTAGTATTTTTAAAACAGAATTACCCAGATAATCTCTTCTAGTTGTATGTGTGTATACATGTTTAAAGTGTTTCCAGTCTTAGTAATTCTGATGAATGTTAATCCTTAAAAAAAAAAAAAAAGAATTAGAGACATTTACTTCTGTTTTAAATTGATTACAAAATAATTGAAATTTTGATTATAAATCAAAATCTACATATAATTTTGTTTATATTAAAATATAGTCTAGGAAGATTTATAAAGATTTGTGAACCATTACTAAACTTGCTAATTTCTAAGGTCTGTAAGGCAATTTTATATATTATATAATCTATTTCCCAAAATTCCCTAAATATTAATATATTAATATTTCTAAATTAGTGAAAATTTACATTGACTTAAAATGTGAGGTAGATATTTTGTTTATATATTGTTTAAAATTTAGTTCATTTAAAAAATTCTGATGTAATAAAACATTGAATAAAATAATACTTCTACAAACTAATAAAAACAATATTTTTCATATTCAACAAAACTGAATATTTTAAGATGATTGTTATTTATCTTTTACCTTGTCAGTAATACATATTTTAGCTAGTGTTAAGTTTTAGGAAATTGTGACACGTTTGATAATTTTTGCTAAAATGTCTTACTTCCATACAGTTTTGTTTTATATATATAATTTACAAGTTGGGTTTCTTGTTTTGTTCTTTGCAAAGGAGAACAACACACATCACGGGGAACTGTAGAGTGTCTCAGAGTGTTTAAAAGGCCCTATTACGGGATTTAGACTGGAGTTAACATAATTCATGGCAGTCTGAAAGAAGTCTTAATAGAGCTAAAAAATCATCCTCAAGATACTCTCTTCTCTGATATTTTAGTCACATGAAATAAGTATCTTCTTATCCTCTTTCATAAAAAGTTTCTTTAATTGAACCCTTGTATTGCATCTTGGGCTTTACCTAGTACCACATGGTAATTTCCCTTTAGAAACAGAATTACAAGTGTTCTGTTCCTGCTTTGTATAATCTGACAGTAGTTTGTATGTTTGAGAATCTGCTGCCACTTTTTAAATAAATTTAAAAATATGATTTTTGACATCAGTCAATACTAGACATTCTGATATCTTGTCACTAGAAATCATTGTAGTTTTTGAAGAAGGTTCTGTTTATGAAATACATTTTCTGTTAACAGACTTTCTATATACTTTATGACAGTTTTAGGTTCTGCTGTGCCTTAGTGGGTATAGTTGTCTAAAGAGAAATGGTTAAGAGACTATTCCCTGTGCAAGGTGTATATTATTAAACATAAAGCTTAGAGTTAGGTTGGAGCTTCCCTGTTGGTAAAGAATCTGTCTGTAGTGCAGGAGACTTATGTCCAGTCCCTGGGTTGGAAAGAGCCTCTGGAGGAGGGAATGGCTACCCATCCAGTATTTTTGCCTGGAAAATTCTAGGACCATGGAGCCTGGCAGGCTACTGTCCATGGACTTGCAAAGAGTCAGGCATTTTACAGGGTTAGGTTGCTCATTTGAATTGTTTTGCTATGCTGATGTTGCACTTTGGAGGTTAATTTAGGGAAAGAATGTCAGAATAATTAAGATGGCATTAGTAAAATAACTCCCTATTTTGCATTCTGTATTGGTGATTACCCTGGTTTCAACTTTTCTAGTTTTCAGCAAGATATCTATAAGTTTTTACTTTGAAGATGTTTAGTTTACAATTTGCAAATGCTTGGAAAAAAATTCTTTAAACATCCTTTCTGAACAGTTCAGTGATATACTAATGCTGTCACTGAGATTTAAGTTAGATATTAATATGAAAAACATTTTGATGAAATATTTTTAATTTAACTTGTAATTAGAGTATATAAAGGTTATTAATGCTTATGGAGCAGGGAAAGTACGCTCTCCTACCTGTAATAACTTTGTTAATACTTGGAATATAAGTAAATTTGATTTATCAAGAATGGAGACAATAGTTTTTCTATAATAGTTGCTACTGAGCAATTTTTATTAAAAACCAAACAAGCAAAAACAGCTTACTAAAGTATTTAGACGGGATCAAATGAAATTTCAAGGAATGACTGATTATGGGAGAAATTTGTCATCTGGTAATAAAGAGGAAAAGCTGGTATAAAAGATTGCTGCTATTCATAAACGCTCAGTGATAAGTGATTGAAATTCTACATTTTTCTTGATTTGATAGTGATTCTTTCTACATTTGTGGAAATTAATCAGTTGCTGTGTAAATATCACTTAAATTGTGTGCAGCATTTGATAATGAAACAACCCATATATTTTGTAATTCTTATGCTAAATTACACCCTGATAACTGTAGTGTCACCATAGAAAACTGAAAATATTTTTGTTGATGATGATGGGCCTACATGCTAAGTACTTAATACTCAATTTTTTGCTAAATGAGACCTAGGAAACTTTTGCCTAATGCAGATTTATTTTCAAAGAATGGTACTGGTTGTACCTTCAAGAATGAAACATTCAGAAGAAATGGCATTTGAATTGGGTACCCTGAATGTGGTGAGAGAACAGATATCCATCAAGTGTTTATTGACCCCTTTCTATGTGCCAGGTTTTACACTAGGTTTAGGAATAAATGATGCGCAACAGAGACCACACATGCCCGCTAATGAGCCAGTATTTTTGAGAGAGAAAGCGATTAGTTTAACAAGTTGTAAAACAGTTGCAACAAATGAAGGAGGGGCCTGTGGTGACAAGATAGTATATGACAGAGGAATTAGACATGAAAAGCCTTCCGGAGGCAATGTTTAAGCTGAAATCCTTGGGTAAGTAAAAGTTAACTAAGCAAAGAAGGAAGGGAAGACTATTACAGACAGAGGGGATACCAGGTGAGTAGACGGAAATGAAAACTCGTTTGGCTGAAGTTAGTAGTTGCCAGAGCTTTTGATTAGATATAATGGTGTTTTTAATACCATGGCCAAGGTCTGTAGTCCTACTCTTGATATATCCCCAACAGAAATGCATGTACATAATGCCACAAAAAACAAGAATATAGTAAAATGATTCATAATAGCAAAAAATTGGACATAGCATGTCCATCAACATAAAATAGGTACAGTTATACAGTGGGATTTTATGCGATGAAAATAATTAGAGCCATGTGCAAGAAAGTGACCACCAAAATGTTTTAATGCTTTACCCTTATTGAGGAGGGAGAAGAGTTGTATTTGGAAAGAATCTTCATAATTAAGCTGTACGGTTTATGTGCTTTTCTGTATGTGTGTATGTGTGTTACAGGGCATCCTTAATTTTTGTAATTGTTTTAACATAATTAAATTGCCAGGTCACATTTTACTCTTTTTCATGTATTATGCCATAAATATCTTCATGTTATACAAACTTTATAACCATACTTCAGAGGAATCTTCCCTGAATCTTGTAACTCTCCAGCTGTATGCCCCAGTTAAATCTTTATTACATCATTGCTTATTTCATTTGTAGTACTACTACTTGGTAAGTGTCTAGATTTCTTTTTTTAGTTCTTCCACTATAATGTAAGCTCCACTGGGGCAGGGACATTTTCTGACATGTTTGTTAATGTATTCCCAGTACTTCTGTTGAATGAATACAGGAGCCTGGTCATTGAATCCCAAATTAAGTTAGGCAAAGCTTTAGAGATCACCTACTGAGTGTAATCATACCTCATAGTACAGATGAGGAAACTAAAGTCTAAGGAAGGGTTGTCAAACACTGTTGACCAACAGAATTTGAATAAGAGCTTGTCTTCAAACCATCAGGCTACTTGCTCTTTCCATGACAGTGTGGAACACCAGTGTTGCCAGATAGAGGGCAACATAGATGATTGCCTTCTGCTGCAGTCCATCATATAGATAATTGAAACATCTTTCTCTTTTCTTTTTGATCTTTTTCCATTTCATTTAAAAAAATCTACCATTAGCTTTAGGCTTACAAGTGTTACATGTTAATATTAAATAGTGAAGGTTCAAAGGGCTGTTGTGAGGCTTAAGTGAGCTAGTTAATGTAAAGCATATAAAACTGTCCCATATTTAATAAAAGCTATTAAACTGAATTTATTTATATTTAGATCAATGAAACTAGGGTTTCCAGAAATATAATCAATTATATATAGAAAGTATGGGATAAAAGTCACATGCCAAATTGATGTACATGAGATAATGCATCAGATAGAAATGTATTTGCAAGAAACAACCCTATGATCAGTATGATCATACTGTATAATTGTACCCTATGATCTTTCAGTAAACAAAGAGTTTATATTTCTCATATAAGCAATCCAAAGGTGTATAATCTAGGACTAACAGCAACTTAATGTCGCCAGGGACTCAGGTTCCTTCTATCTTTGTACTCTGCTATTTTTTTTTGGTTGATGGCTTTCATCCATGTTGTCTCAAAATAGCTGTTTCACCTCTAGGTAGTACATCTAGATTCCAATCAGGAAGAAAGTGAAGGTTAAGAGGTCAAATGGAGCATGTCAGTCAAAGTTGCCTTTAAAAATCTCTGGAAGCCACATTCAGTGACTTACTCTTATATCTCAGCAGAGAACAGAAACACTTGGCCACCCCTTGCTGTAAGAGAGTCTGGGAAAGTATTTTAAGCTAGGCACATTTACTGCCCTAAAGTCACATTCTGTTCAGAAGGAAGAATTGGTGCCAAGTAGGTAACTAGCAGTGTCTAACAAAAACGTTATAGGCCACTTTAAAAAATAAAAGAATGGCTCTACTTCTTATGCTAGAGTATGTAAATTACAGATATATCAAGTATTTTTTTAAATAGGAGAAAAATCGACATTTCATGTGAAGTCGAGAAGATAAGATATTTGAGAAGATAAGACTTTCAGACATGACATAAAACACAAAAGCTAAAAAAACGTTAAGAAACTTAAGTACATAGCATTTAAAACAATTTTATAGGAAAAAGATAAACTACTACTTGGAGGAAAATATTTGTAAGACTTATGTGTACAGAGGGCTACTTTCCTTAATATAAAAATAACTTGGCAATTAGTAACTTTCAGTGGGCAAAGGATATACATGGGCAATCATAGTATATAATGTATAATAGTAAAAGAATATAAATTGATAATTTTAAATGGACAAGGAATGTAAATGAGCAACTAGAGAGGGGACAAATGATAAGACCAACATATATATGTACAGGTGCACAGATTCATTCATGGTTAACTACAGTTTGAACAACATTGGCCTCCGTTTGCCAAAACTTGAGATGATTGATAATATCTGGTGTTAATTGGTTGGGATTATGAGAAAATCTGATGTTTAGCTGATAGACACCAGCATGGCTGTCTCAGTTAAAATACTGAAATTTGTACCAGTGATAGATCATTTTACTGTAACTGCAATAGCACTAAACTTAATAGATATAAGTCCATTAGTTCTTTTTTGATAGCCATTGATAATGGACCTTTTGTTGTAATGACATCTGAGAAACATTTGCAACATCTGTTAGCTTGAACTGTGTTATGGTAAATAATGTTCCTGCCTTGTTCATTACCTGTGAAGCATTCCATGTTCTAACAGTGGCTGTTGCTTCTAAATAGTTTTATTTTTTTAATTTGGTTTTCCTATTTAGTGTATTATGATTATTAGGTGAAAAGTAAACACAGTGTTTTAATATTTTAAAATAGAAGAACTTATAACAAAATAGTAATGGACACTCTAAAACTATTTGATGCTATCTCTGTTAATGTGGAACATAAGCATAACTTTTGACCCAGCAATTTCATGTGTTCACCAGCTTGTGGATTGAGCACTATGGAGTGGAACTTGGCAGCAGTGATGCAAGTGCTCTATTCTGTGCTATCCATACAGCAGCTGCTAGCATTGTAGCTACTGACCACTTGAAATGTGGTTAGTGCAACTGAGGAGCTGACTTAAAGAGCTACATTTGGCTAGTACCTACTATATTGGTCTGAGCAATGAGTGTCCACAGCTGTGCCATTACTAATATCCAAACTTGGAAACAACCCAGATAGGCAAATTATGGTGTTGTCACACAATAGAATACAGTAATATTGAAAGATGTATAACCATGTGTAAGATTATGGATTATCTCAAAGAGCTAATGTTGAACAAAAGAAACCAGACACAAAAGAATACATACTTTGTGATTCTATTTATGTGAAGTACAAAAACAGGATGTTGGTTACTCTTAAGTGGGAAGGAAATAACTGAAAGAAGGTATGGGAATTGAGACTTTTGGGATGCTGGTATGTTCTATGATCTATTTCTTTATTTGGGTGCTAATTGTGTGTGTGTGTTTCAGTTTATGAAAATTTACCAAACTATACATATGTAACATTTATACCTTTCTGTGAAGTTATTGTGTTTGAGTTTACAGTTGTGCATTGGAGGGAGAAAAAACACCCAGAATGAGTGTTAGCAAAATGTTGATAAGCTTCTTAACATTCCTTTTAAATTCTGTAAATGTTCATATTCTAAAACTGTGGAAGAACATGATAATGAACTATAGCTTGAAATGTTTCTTAAAAACGTCCTGAAACATCTTTTGATATTGCCTAAGAATATAAAATAAATGATTTTCATTTCTGAAATTAAAACATGATTTATTGCAAGTGATGTAAAAGTACTTTTAAATACCTTCAAATTGTTAATACATACACATTGTTAAGTACAATCGAGTTTGGGGCTCAAAACTTTATTAATAAAACATAATGCAGACTTGTTACAATTTAGATTTATGGTCTCACTTGTAAGACATACTGACAAAAACAGAAGAGAAAAAATTTGGTCATTACTGCACAGCTTCACTTGTTACACGTGAAAGTGTCTTCATAATTTACTTAAGAGGCAAAACATCATAACTTAGATGCTATGGACCTAAAGGTATTATCTGGGAGAAGATACCAAAATTTATTACAGATGCTCAAGGAAAATAATTCCAATAAGAACTATATAGAAACTTTACTGGGTTTTGAACAGCTAGTACTATGGAAAGCTTGGGGAAAAAATTGGAAATTTAGCCAAAGTTTTATATTTCCAGGTTTTTAATTTGGCCCAAAGACAATTAAAATATCTCCAAATGATATTATAAATATGTAAATAAATGAATCACTTTTAAGTATTTCCCCAGTAAACTGTAATTTTGTGATAAATTTGTGATAGCAAATAAAGGTAAAATTTTTCTGGGACAGTTAATACCTGAAGAGCTTAGAATTTGTGATAAATTATGGTAATGAGAATTGGAATTATATTCTGGTTTCAGTAGCAACCTGTAGTGCTAGAACTACAAAAGTAATTTGGAAATTTTATCAAGCCTTGTGTATTTTCTTCATTAAAGATTTTGATACCAGAACAAACATTTAGAATATGAAAATATTTTTAGAAAGTTGTCCTTACTAGAAGTATTTAGTGAAGATATCAATTCTTTATTTAGGTTCTCCAGAGAGCAGTGTTTTATTAATTGAGGTTTATAAACTCATTTGACAGGAACTAAACGTGATTGAAACTAAAAACATGAAAAAGAAGCAGAAATTATTTGAAATATGGAAATATATATGATACTGATTGTTAATTTTTTAATATTCATTGATTTTTGGCTGCATCAAGTCTTAGTTGTGGCATGTGGAATCATTGTTGTTGCATGTGGGCTTCTCTCGAGTTGTGGCACTTGGCTCAGTAGTAGTGTGTGTGGACTTAGTTGCCCTGTAGCATCTTAGTTCCCTGACCAGGGATTAAACCCGCATCTCCTGCATTAGAAGGCAAATTCTTAACCCTGGACCACCAGAGAAGTTTCCTCGATTGTTAATTATAACTCAGTAAAAAATTTTAAAATAATTAAAATACAGAAATATGCTATTTGAAATAACAAAATAGAAGGCCAGTGCAAGTGAAAGTATTACTACCCAATTAATTGATAACATATTGATGTACTCCCTTGTGTGATGGTTAACTTTATATGTAAACTTGTCTGGGCCATGTGGAGCCCAGATATTAGGGTGTTTCTGTGAGAATGTTGTTTGGATAAGATTAACATTTAAATACAGACTGAGTAAAATAGATTGCCTTGGCTAAGGTGGATGCGGGGCTTCCCTGGTTGCCCAACAGTAAAGAATCCGCCTGCAATGCAGGAGACTCAGGTTCAATCCCTGGGTTGGGAAGATCCCCTGGAGGAGGGCATGGCAAACCCACTCAGTATTCTTGCCTGGAGAATCCCATGGACGGAAGAGCATGGTGGTCTACAGTCCATAGTGTCACAAAGAGATGGACACGACTGAAGCAACTTAACACAGCAAGGTGGGTGGACTTAAAGGCCTGAGGAGGACAAAACGGCTGCCCCTCCTCTCCCTGGCCCTAGTAAGAATTCCTCCTGCCCAACTGCCTCTGGCTAGGACATCTGTTTTTTCCCTGACCTTCGATTCAGAACTCCTCGATTGAGCCTGCTAGCCTTTGGACTGGAGGTGTACCTTTGTCTCTCCTGGGTCTCCAGCTTGCCTGCTTACCCTCCATATCTTGGGACTTGTCAGCATTATAAACTTGTGAGCTAATTCCTTTTAATAAATCTACTTGCATATATATATATATATATATATATATATATGTGTGTGTGTGTGTGTGTGTGTGTGTGTCTAAATGCATGTGTCAATGAGCATTTAGGCCTCACATTTTAAAAGAAAAATATTTGTAGAGGAATATTATTATCGCTACTGTTAAGTAGAATTTACAATACAACTTAGCTGTTTCTCAGAGGTCATTAGGAAGTTTGTCCCTAAGAACTATTGTTTCTTGGTGTTCAGACTTCACATTGTATCTTCATATGGCCGAAGGGACTAGAGAACACTCTGGCATCTTTTTTTATTAAGAGCAAAATATTATATACAAACACACATTTCCTATTTGTTCTGTTTCTCTGGAGAACCCTAATACACTTTGTTTTTTTTTGTTCTTTATACATAGTCTTAAAACATGGACATTTTATGTAAGTAAATTTTGTATAATCTTGTTCTAAGCATACTTTAGTGCTCATTGAATTTCAGAAACCTATGTAAGAGAAAATAGTTTTATAAAACTTAACCTTTTAAAGCATAAGGAATGAAAGTTTTTTGTAGGTGAGTTTTCATATATATAAATAACTTGTTACAAAATATGGTTACCTGGGACTTCCCTTGCAGTCCAGTGGTTAATACTCCATGCTTCTAATATAGAGGGTGCAGTTTTGATCCCTGGTTGGGGAACCGAGATCCCATGTGCTGCACAGTGGTGGTGGTGGGAGGGGGGGAATATGGTTACCTGAAAACTAATTTCACTCACTTATGAGTAGTTTCAGGCTATTCCTCAAATCTGGCTGTGGTCTAACTGGCACTCGGTGGGATTTTTCTCCCTCTGATGATCTGACCCTCCAAGCTGTCAGTGCAGTCTGCTGTGAGGTTTGCTTTCTTGGAAGCTGAATCACACTGATGACCCAACGTGGTTCATCTAATGCTTCTGTTACTCACTTATTGGGGAACCTGAGTTTCCTTGTTTTACCATTGTTCTGGCCCATTAGTTTGAAAGTTTTTTTTTTACCTTGAGAAGAAGGGAAAAAGAGACTCCCTAGCTGTTTGCTTCCAATTATCTACTGACAACAAACTCTCTTCTTTGGATTTGGACCTGTCCCTAATAGTCTCTAGCCTTTGCTTATTCTGTGTGGTAGTTTTCTGACATTAATGTGTAATCTTTCAGTTACAGGAAACATCACATTTCTGTTTTTCTAAAGTAAGTTAAATCTAACCTGAGCTTCCTCAGGGCTAGCTAAAGAACTTCCAATGTGGGTGGGAAACTGTGTTCCCTAACCCCTTCATTGAATTCTAAAAGAATCCTTGGCCTTATCTCATGCCAAGGTTGGGTGTGCTTCATTGTTTCCACATCTAGAAGATGCTGTTGCTGGCTGGGGGTGGCACACCTTTCTCTAGTAGGCCGTGTTGCTCTGTGAGGGCCACCGAGATGCCCTCACTGCCATTTCTGCTCTAATCATAGGCTGACACAACACAGAGACTTAACGCTTTGCTCTCAAGGTCCCTGCAGTTACACCAGCCTTGACCATCCTGGTATGACCACCCAAAAGAGATTCATCTAAATGTCTTGAGAAAATCCCCCAAACCTAGTCCCCAGGACACCTCCATTTTCTTTAATCAGACTGTTGCTTTTCCATCCCAGTACCAGTATCCCACATCCTCCTTTCATTCTTGAAAGTGAAAGTGAAGTCGCTTAGTCGTGTGCAACTCTTTGTTACCCCATGGATTGTAGCTGACCAGGCTCCTCCGTGTCTGGGATTTTACAGACAAGAGTCTTGGAGTGGGTTGCCATTTCCTTCTCCAGGAGATCTTCCCAACCCAGATTAATTCCTTTGCAGCAAAACCCTGGAAGAATTTTTTTTTCCGTGATAGCCACCGAAGGAGCCACAACAGACCCTCCCCACTTCCTGCACACACCCCAGTGGAGAAGAGTCCAAATTCTAGAACATAAAGGCCTGATTGGAATACCTCAACATAATAAAAGCCATATATGATAAATGCAAATAAGCATCCTCAGTGGTGAAAAATTGAAAGCATTTCCCCTAAAGTCAGGAACAAGACAGTTGTACCAACTCAGCACTACTATTCAACATAGTTTTGGAAGTTTTAGCTACAGAATCAGAGAAGAAAAAGAAAAGGAATCAGATTGGAAAAGAAGTAGATGACATGATCATCTATTTGCAGATGACATGATCCTATACATAGAAAACCCTAAAGACACCACCAGAAAATTAGAGCTAATCAATGAATATGATAAAGTTGCAGGATATAAAATTAATACACAGCAATCCTTTCCTACACACTGACAATGTGAAAACAGAAATTAAGAAAACAATCCCATTAACCATTGTGATGAAAAGAATAAAATACTTAGGAATAAATCTACATAAACAAAAGAACTACATATAGAAAATTATAAAACACTGATGAAAGAAGTCAAAGAGGACACAAATAGATGGAGAAATGTACCATGTTCATGGTTTGGAAGAATTGGAAGAACCAATATTGTGAAAATGAGTATACTACCCAAAGCAATCTTTAGATTCAATGCAATCCCTATCAGGCTACCAACAGTATTTTTCACAGACCTAGAACAAATAATTTCACAGTTTGTATGGAAATACAAAAAAATCTCAAATAGCCAAAGCAATCTTGACAAAGAAGAATGGAACTGGAGAAATCAACCTGCCTGACTTCAGACTGCTACAAAGCTACAGTCATCAAGAAAGTATGGTACTGGCACAAAGACAGAAATATAGATCAATGGAACAGAATAGCCCAGAGATAAATCCATGCACCTATGGACACCTTATCTTTGACAAAGGAGGCAAAAATACAATGGAGAAAAGACCACCTCTTTAACAAGTGGGGCTGGGAAAGCTGGTCAAACACCTGGAAAAGAATGAAGCTAGAACACTTTCTGACACCATACACAAAAATAAATTCAGAATGGATTAAAATCTAAAGGCCAGAAAGTATAAAACTCCTAGAGGAAAACATAAGCAAAACACTCTGACATAAATTACAGCAAGCTCCTCTATGACCCAACTCCCAGAGTAAAAGAAAGAAAAGTAAAAATAAGCAAATGTGACCTAATTAAACATAAAAGCTTTTGCACAGTGAAGGAAACTATAAGCAAGGTGAAAAGACAGCCTTCAGAATGGGAAAAAATGATAGCAAATGAAGCAACTGATAATTAATCTCAAGAATATACAAACAGCTCATACGGCTCAATACCAGAAAAATAAATGACCCAATCAAAAAATGGGCCAAAGAACTAAACACAGTTCTCCAAAGAAGACATACAGATCGCTCAGTTCAGTTCAGTCCAGTTCAATTCAGTCACTCAGTCGTGTCCGACTCTGCGACCCCATGAATCACAGCATGCCAGGCCTTCCTGTCCATCACCAACTCCTGGAGTTTACTCAAAGACATGAAAAGATGCCCAACACCACTCAATATCAGAGAAATGCAAATCAAAACCACAAGGAGGGACAATCTCATGCTGGTCACAATGGTTACTATCAAAAAGTCTACAAATACTGGAGAGGATGTGGAGAAAAGGGAACTCTCTTACACTGTTGTGGGAATGCAACCTAGTACAGCCACTATGGAGAACAGTGTGAAGGTTCCTTAAAAAACTGGAAATAGAACTGCCATATGACCCAGAAATCCCACTGCTGGGCATACACACCAAGGAAACCAGAATTGAAAGAGACATGTGTACTGCAATGTTCATCGCAGCACTGATTACAATAGCTAGGACATGGAAGCAACCTAGACGTCCATCGGCAGATGAATGGATAAGAAAGCTGTGGTACATATACACAATAGAATATTACTCAACTATAAAAAGGAATGCATTTGAGTCAGTTCTAATTAGATGAAATTGGAGCCTGTTATACAGAGTGAAGTAAGTCGGAAAGAAAAACATCAATACACTATATTAATGCATATATATGGAATTTAGAAAGATGGTAATGATGACTCTATATGCGAGACAGCAAAAGAGACACAGATGTAAAGAGCAGATGTTTGGACTCTGTGGGAGAAGGCGAGGGTGGGATGATTTGAGAGAATAGCATTGAAACATGTATATCATCATATGTGAAATAGATTGCCAGTACAGGTTTGATGCAAGAGACAGGGTGCTCAGGGCTGGTGCATTGGAATGACCCTGAGGGATGGGACGGGGAGGGAGGTGGGAGGTGGGTTCAGGATGGGGAACACATGTACACGCATGGCTGATTCATGTGAATGTATGGCAAAAACCACCACAATATTGTAAAGTAATTACCCTCCAATTAAAATAAAAAATTCTTTTTTAAAAAAAAAAGCTTGATTGGAAAAGGGGTAATACATTTCTATCATATGAAGAATTACGTTTGTATCATGGTGAGCCTACAGTTAGGACAATAAGACCAAGGTGATTCATTTTTAAATATACTACAAAAAGTTTCAAACTTATAAACAGTATGCAGATTAATAAAACCAGCACCTGTGTTAAATAAAGAACTTAAATAAAATTTGCTAATAATTTATTTCATCCCCCCAACAAAAATGCCAACTCCTAAATTTGGTGATTTTTCATTTCCGTGTCTTTTCTTATAATTTAACTCTGTGTGTATGTGTGTGTATTCTTAAGCAATATATGTAGGATTACTTTGTATGTTTAAAAATTTTATGTCAATGGAGTATTTATATATTCTTTAGCATTCTCCGTATGTGGGGATGCAGTCAATTTTATTCATTTCCACAGCTTTAGAGAATTCATTCAACTGAATATACCATATAGTATTTATTTCCCATTCTCCAGTGGATGGGGCATTTAGGTTGTTGCCAAATATTTGCTATTACATACGATGTGCTGTGCACATTCTCCCAGTGCATTGTGCATATAACATTTTTCTAAAGGAAATTTTACATAGGAGTAGAATTAGGAGGTCCCAGGGCACAGTGGGAAAGACTAGAGATCTCTTCAAGAAAATCAGAGATACCAAGGAAACATATCATGCAAAGATGAGCATAATAAAGGACAGAAATGGTATGGACCTAACAGAAGCAGAAGATATTAAGAAGTGGCAAGATACACAGAAGAACTATACAAAAAAGATCTTCATGACCCAGATAACCATGATGGTGTGATCACTCACCTAGAGCCAGACATCCTGGAATGCAAAATCAAGTGGGCCTTAGGAAGCATCACTACGAACAAAGCTAGTGGATGTGATGGAATTCCAGTTGAGCTATTTCAAATCCTGAAAGATGATGCTGTGAAAGTGGTGCACTCAATATGCCAGCTAATGTGGAAAGCTCAGCAGTGCCCACAGGACTGGAAAAGTTCAGTTGTCGTTCCAATCCCAAAGAAAGGCAATGCCAAAGAATGCTCAAACTACCGCACAGTTGCACTTATCTCACATGCTAGCAACATAATGCTTAAAATTCTCCAAGCCAGGCTTCAACAGTACATGAACTGTGAACTTCCAGATGTTCAAGCTGGTTTTAGAAAAGGCAGAGGAACCAGAGATCAAATTGCCAACATCACTTGAATCATTGAAAAAGCAAGAGAATTCCAGAAAAATATCTACTTTTACTTTATTGATTACACTGAAGCTTTTGACTATGTGGATCACAACAAACTTTGGAAAATTCTGAAAGAGATGGGAATACCAGACCACCTGACCTGCCTCCTCAGAAATCTGTATGTAGGTCAAGAAGTGACAGTTAGAACTGGATATGAAACAACAGAGACTGGTTCCAAATCAGGAAAGGAGTACATCAAGGCTGTATATTGTCACTCTGCTTATTTAACTTATGTGCAGAGTACATCATGTGAAATGCTGGACTGGAGAAAGCACAGCTGAAATCAAGATTGCTGGGAGAAATATCAATAACATCATATGCAGATGACACCACCTTTATGGCAGAAAGTGAAGAAGAACTAAAGAACCTCTTGATGAAAGTGAAATAGGAGAGTGAAAAAGTTGGCTTAAAACTCAACATTCAGAAAACTAAGATCGTGGCCTCTGGTCCCATCACTACACGGCAAATAGATGGGGAAAGAATGGAAACAGTGAGAGACTTTATTTTGGGGGGGTCCAAAATCACTACAGATGGTGACTGAAGCCATGAAATTAAATGATGCTTGCTCCTTGGAAGAAAAACTATGACCAACCTAGACAGCATATTAAAAAGCAGAGACATTGCTTTGCCAACAAAGGTCCATCGAGTCAAACCTGTGGTTTTTCCAGTAGTCATGTATGAATGTGAGAGTTGGACTATAAAGAAAGCTGAGCACCAAAGAATTGATGCTTTTGAAGTGTGGTCTTGGATAAGACCCTTGAGAGTCCCTTGGACTGCAAGGAGATCCAACCAGTCCATAGTAAAGGAAATCAGTGCTGATGCTGAAACTGAAACTCCAATACTTTGGCTACTTGATGTGAAGACCAACTCATTGGAAAAGACCCTGATTCTGGGAAAGATTGAAGGCCTGCAGAGAAGGGGACAACAGAGAATCAGATGGTTGGATTGTATCACTGACGCAACGGACATGAGCTTGAGTAGACTTCAGGAGTTGGTGATGGACAGGGAAGCCTGGCGTGCTGCAGTCCATGGGGTCGCAATGAGTTGGACACGACTGAACTACTGAACTGACTGACTGAGGGCACATGCGTCTTATAGCTCAATATAAGCTGCCAAATTGCTCTCCAAAGTGAATACAGCACCATACTCTTAGCAGAACTTTCCTCTTGCTTCCCATCTTCATTAATGTTTAACATTCTCAGAATTCTTAACCTTCCAACCGAATTGTACCTGATCATGGTTTGAATCCCTGATTACCATTGAAGTGGAGCATCTTTTCATATATTTGTTCACTATTTAGCTTTCTGTAAAAGACTCATGTGTTAATACCATATGTCATTATTATTCTCAATATTACTATTTTACAATATTGGGTTGTCCTTCTTGTATTAATTTGTACAAGTTCTTTATGTATTCAAGAAACTTAATTCCTTGTCATTAATTTGCATTTGCAAATACAGTCTTCCAGTCTTCAGCTTGTCTTTTTACTTTGGGGATGTTTTAGATGTAAGTTTCTAAACTTTAACATGATCAAATGTCATTTTCTTGCATGTATCCTTTAATTTTGTTTAAAGAAAAAACCAACAACAAACAACTCTTCTGTCCTAAAGTCAGAAGGATATTCTCCCTAACCTCAGCATACCTGTGTGTAAAATTTCTGCTTTTCATATTGAGGACTTTAATTCTCCTGGTAATTATTTTTGCTTATGGTGTGAAGTAGGAACAAATATTATTTTTCTCTATATAGATAACTAATTGTCCAAGCAATATTTAGTAAATAATTCAACATATCCCCACTAACCTGCAATGTGTCAAGTTTCAAGGTATGTATACATCTATACAGAGTTCATTTGTGGTGTGCCCTACTACAGTATCCTTAGGGTTTGTCTTGCATTTTTTTTTTTTTTTGTCTTGTATTTTTTATTCATCCTTGATTTTTGAGTTTGTCTGAGTTCATCTGAGAGCTGCATTCATGGCACTTTGGTTGCTTTGTGGAATCACTGGCACTTACTTTTTTGGAATATCTTTGTAAAAGCTTCCCTATCCCTTTGTATTTCCTTTAAGAATCACTGGCCTTGGTATCACATGAATTTTAAAAATTTTCATGATACCACTCCCAAAATTAGACATAAGGTATATGTCAAATTTATGTTCAACCTTCTTCTTTTTGCTTTTATAAACTCTTCCAAGGATAAATTCATACTGGTATCTTCACAGTCTTAAATTTGGCTTTTTAAGTCATTCTTAGAATTTTTGCTTCCTTCGGAGCAACATAATCTTGAGCAAAGAAGGTATTCTCTGGATAGGTTTTTAAAACTTTCTGATATCCCACAATGAGGTATTTCTTGATTACATTTAAAGTAATAAATTTCCTTTGACCATATAAGAGGAAAAACCCACAGTCGTCTTCATCCTCTGTTTAAAAAACACACTAATTTCCTTGCTTTGCATGAGTACTTTAAAGTGTGAATAAGTAGCAGGAAGTGGAACCTCAGCTTAGCCTGAAAGGAAGTCTGATCACATCCACTGGATAGCTGGGCAGGCTCACCAGAAGCCTATTTCCATAAAGGTCTAAAAATTCTTGAAGGGCTAGACTCAGCTTTAGGAAAGAGAGAACCAGGCATAGGAAGTTTGCAGTTGCACACCTTTAGTTTTCTGAGTGAAGAAGCAATTGTGTGTCAAGTCTGTTGCTCGGATTTGATTCCCAGATGAGCAGGACATCCTATAGTTTTCCCCAAGTAATGAATGGGATATGACATTAAAGTCAAAGAACTCAGTAAAAATTTTAGATCATGTTGAATAAACTTCCTTCTCAACCCTGGAAAAACTTTTGTCTTTGAATAGTTATGCTTAGAGGGTAACCTGCAACCAGACTGCCTAAGTTCCAATCTCAGCCTTCTAACTTGACTGGAAGATCCTTAGCAAGTTATTTAATGTTTTCTGTGTCTCAGTTTCTTTGGCTGTAAAATGAAAATAATAAAAGTTGAAGATGCTTCATAGGATTGTAACATTGAGTA